TATATATATATAAAAAATGAAAACATTCATTTTAAAGCAATAATAATTTACTAAGACCAAATAAAGAAAATAACTAAACAACTACACAAAAAAAAAGTGAGAGCAACTACGATTTAAATTTAAGAAATACATGGTAAAATACTTGTATTTAGATAAATCTTATCTTCAAAGAGAAACATTACTAGAATTTTATTTCTTTTTGAATGTTAAGACTTGAAACAAAATAAACATTAATAGGAACAAAGTGAAAAAAAAAAAACATTGATTCAAGTACATAAATGCCTTTTACCTAAAATGTAACCAGTTGTGAATAACCCGCTAACAGCAGCAGCTGTTATAAATCGAAGAAAAGAAAACAGACCAAAGCTCGGAGCAAAAGCTGTTCCAATCGATGATACACACATTATCAAAGCAGCACCCATCATAACATTCTTCCTGCCAAACCTAAAAGAAATAATTTATATGTCAGTGAAATTAGATATAGGATTCGAAATATTTATTTGAACAGTATTTATTATTAATGACAGTACTTTTTTTATCATTTAGAATTTCCGCTAAGGGAACGCAGTTTTGATATATAATTAAAATTTAAGAATTGAATATTAAATTTAAAAAAAAAATTGCCTAAGTTACAACTTTAAAAGAAAAATTCTGTTAAATCAATATGTCAATTAAGCATGCAAGCTATGCATTATTAAAAAAATTAAACATACAAAATGAGTTAATAGTAAGTCCAAGAGAAATTTTTACTTATTGAATTGTTGAATTTCAGACAATTATAATACACTTAGTTTTTTCTCGCATAAAAAGTTTAAAAAGTGTAAGAATGAAACTAAATTTCTATTTCCTTAATGCCTTACACAACACTGCTAAGAGTCAAATACTTCTGATTGAAAAAGAAAAAAGATTTTTGTTTTAAATTAAAGTTTAATAAATCTCAAGCAGTGAATGTTTTTAAAGTCAATAAAACTGTTCTTAGATATTTTAAGAACTTGCTTATTGCAAAAAGGAAAAAAAATAAAAAAAATAGAGTTAATTGTTTCAACATTAAGTGATACAAAATGCATACAATGAATTATATTATATTAAATTGCAATATATTACTAAAAAATATCTCACAAAATCTATGAGATTTGTACTTTCTTTCTTTTTTTGAATATTCGCTGCAAACGAATTTCATAATTCTTGGAAAATTAAATAAATTAATTATTAACAGATTATGAAAATTCTTCATTTTCAATATTTAACCGTGACCTTGACTACAAAACCGTAATAATGACGCAAAAATTCATAATAGTTGGCACTTCTAAGTTGATGAAAAACATATTGAAAACTTATCACATACTCACTTATCAGCTATCATACCAAACCCAGCTGATCCAAATAAAACTCCAGCCATAAATATAGAACTGGATGCAGCACCATTCCAGCTTTTTTTACACACAATATCAAACTGAAATAAAGAATCATCACTGAATTACAACTTAGTTTTTTAAAAATTAATATAAAAATTAATAATTAAAATGACATGGCATTCTAACGTACTTCTGACGCAGCGGTGCTTTCATACTCAGTATGGTCCCACACAAACCTTGAACACAATATAGTTTTCTTTCTATTAAATGCTTGAGGCCCACAATAATTGTGCCCTTGGACTATTTCATATCGCTCACATGGATTTGGTGTTGTACCAAATTCATCCGTTACGTTAGGAATAGCAAATTTAACAAAATTCTCATTGAATTGTGTAGTAATGTTATCACAGTTTGGTATGTAACATCTAAAAAGACAATATAAATACATTTTTAAAGAAAATAATGCAAAGAATAATGTGAAAAATTTAAGAAATATGTAATTAAATTCGATTTAATATAGTAATCACAGTTAGGGTTGAAGGAAATATTATAAAGAAAACTGTGATAATTGTAATTATCACAGGTATGTAAAGATGTTACATACCAAACTGTGATAATTAGTAATGTTATCACAGTTTGGTATGTAACATCTAAAAAGACAATATAAATAAATTTTTAAAGAAAATAATGCAAAGAATAATGTGAAAAATTTAAGAAATATGTAATTAAATTCGATTTAATATAGTAATCACAGTTAGGGTTGAAGGAAATATTATAAAGAAAATTAGAATATTGATACATTAAACCAGAGATGAATAATTCAGTTTTTTATTAATACATAACAAAACTATCAACTTCCTTAATAAAATATGTAAGTAACACTTATGAAGTAAGAATAATATTGATATATATTTAAAAAAAGACATAATAAAGAATAAGTCAATTTACAATTTTTCTCTAAAAAGTTTATTTTCAATTTTTTTCTAAAAGTGGTTATGACAATATAAATTAAGACAATATAAAATAAAGGGTGAGTAGCTAGATTTTTCAACAAAAAGAAGTACCTTTTAAGTACTTTTCAAGCACTAAAAAAATATTTTTAATCACTTTTCAAAAAAAAAAAAATAATAATGACAATCGACATGCCAAAGAAAAAACTGTCTTTTTAAAAGATAGAAAATTAAGCACTTTTTACAAACCCTGAATAAAAAAAGGATCTTTAAGGGCTTTTAGAAAACGTAAATCAAAACTAAGCACTTTTTAAAAACTCTACCCACCCTGATATATATATATATGTATTAAATATCTAACCTTTGAAATAATTTAATAATTGAAAATTATAATTAAATTAATAATAATAAAAGACATTACTTAAATTATAAAAAATAAAATTCCAAAAATAAAAAATGCATTTGCATGAACTTGATTCTCATATAAAAATTCTTAATATGAATTATAATGAAAAATAAATGTAGGTTTTAAGAACATTACATAGATATTTATAGAGTGATGATCAAAGCAGTAATATGCTTCGATGTTATGAAGGAATTATTAATCAGAAATTTTGAAAGAACAGTTTCATAACTTCAGAGTAATTATTTTACTCAGTCTAATAACTTCATTGCTTTTTATGTTAAATAAAAAATACTTTTTCTTGGCTGAGTGAAAAATAACTTTTTTATAACATTAATATTTAATAAAATAAACAGTGCAAACCTATATCGATATATATATATATTTAATTTGAGAAAAATGCTTAATTTGGAACAAGTCAACATATTTCGTTTAAAAACTTATTTTTGAGAAAATCTAAAAGGAGTTTGAACAATTTAGTGTTTATTTCAGTAGTTCTCCTAACCTATATTGTAAAATTGACACTATTGTCGATTTTACATCCCTGGTTGGGAGAACAACAAGGAAGTTTTAGTTCCCTCTTGGTAGTAAAATGTAATAAAATGCACTCTGTACTAAAATGAACAGAATTTAGGAGTTAATTAGAATTATTTTTCAAAATTCCTCGATTATTTATAATTATTTTTCTCAACTATTAATAAATAATTAGCTATTTCTTCAAATGCGAAAAGAAAACAATAAAGAAATTAAAAAGTAAAAAAAATTTAAGATTGGTTCACTTCTAAATTTTATTTTTCAAGTTATGTTTAATAATTTTTTTTTTTTGAATAAATTCAAATAAAAAATTAAATCAAACTATTTATTTTCATTCAAGACAATATAAATATTCAATATTCTTTTTTTTTTAAAAGAAAATAACTTTTTAAGGCATTTCTAAACTTTTTAAGGCATTTTTAAATAAAAACAAATATCAGTTAAAGAATTATTAATATAAAATCAGTTAACTTGATTCATATTTACTTTCCTTAAAAAAAATTAGGAATTAATAAGTTTTAGAAAATGGACAAAAGCTTTTCATAATTCACTTCTTAAATAACTTAAGTAGAAAAAATTAAGTTAAAAAGTAAGGAATGTATTTAGAACAAAAATAAAAGTAGAAATTAGAGCTGTAAAACAAAGGTGAGGTATGACAAAATAATGTTATGAAATATTTATTCCAGCAATTTAGTTAAATCAAATAAATTTATTTATGAAAAGTTATGATTTGATTTAATATAAATGAATTTTAGTTAATGAACTTCTTAAAAAAAACAAAAAAAAACAAAAAAAAAAAAAATTATGGATATTTAAACATGAAAAATTTTTTAAGTATATTTTTGAAATGAAATTATTACCATATTTATTTTATCAGTTTAGTTAAATTATATTTGCACTTCTGTATTTTCATATTTTGACAATATATACACTGGTTATCATAAATTAAGGAAAAATCACAAAAATAGCGATAACTCTTTCAAAAGTAAGCCAAACCGTGCAAAATTTGCATATGTTGTCCACTAAGAGTAGCTGAGTAAAATTGCAATATGCAAATTAGTGGCGCTGCACTCGGCTTACGTCATCTGCCTGGAGCATAAAAGTCCAAGTTTGAGAGAAAGCACACAAATTTTACTGTGATTGCGACATTGAAAATCTGAGATAGCCAATTCGTAATAATGACCTCTAGGCATCATTTGCCTGAAGAACTACGATGGAGAGCCATCGGGAGACTAGAGGCAGGGCAGAGTCAATCAGAAGTGGCCAGATGGCTAAATGTGAGTCCATCTGTGGTTCATAGACTTTGGAGGCAATTTCAAACCACAGATTCGGCATCTAGGAGGTTCAGTCAAGGACGGCCAACTGTTACGACCAGTGCCGATGACCGATATTTGACATTAAGTGCACGCAGGAATAGAACCGCTACTCCGACACATCTTAGATCCTCTCTTGCTGCAGCCACCGGAAGGTTGGTGTCAACGTCAACTGTGCGCAGAAGGCTCCACGAAGGTGGTCTGTATGCGAGACGACCAGCCATTTGCGTGCCGCTCACATCACGCCATAGGAGAGACCGTTTGCAGTGGGCCCGACAACATGTCCACTGGACGTCAGATCAATGGAGGCCTGTTCTCTTTACGGATGAGTCCAGGTTTAGTCTAGAAAGTGACAGTAGACGTTATTTGATATGGAGAGAACCTGGGACCCGTTATCATCCATCAAACATCCGTGAAAGAGATGCATACGGAAGAGGCAGTGTCTGTGTTTGGGGAGGCATATCCTTAGGAGGGCGCACATACCTCCATGTCTTTCCAAGGGGAACCGTGAATGCTCAGGTTTATCGAGACAACATCCTTGATGCTTATGTGCGCCCATATGCCGGGGCAATTGGTGATTGCTTCCTGTTACAGGACGATAATGCAAGACCACACAGAGCTCGCATTGTTGATGATTATCTTCAACAGGAAACAATTACTCGCATGGAGTGGCCAGCTCGATCCCCGGACTTGAATCCTATCGAGCACGTTTGGGATGCTCTAGGGAGGCGTGTATCTGCCATCAATCCGCCCCCTCAGACCCTTGCCACGCTTGCAACTGCTTTACAAGAGCAATGGCTCTCACTTCCTATTGAACTGATAGACCGCATAATTGAAAGCATCACACATCGCTGTTTGTGCTGTATTGCTTCTAGAGGCAATCATATTCCATATTAAAGGTACTTTTTCTATTGCAAACCGATACTTCCAATTTGTTTATTTTATACATGTGCTAATTTCTATACTACTATTAATGTCTGATAATTTCTTTTTATGTTGTTTAATACCTTACTATGTGTTGTATATTGTGGGTAAGTTTCATAAAATTCCATGTGTAATTTCTTGAGTTATCGCGATTTTTGTGAATTTTCCTTAATTTATGATAACCAGTGTATATAGAGATCAGGGTGCGTAGCCAAATTATTCAACAAAAAAATAAGCACCTTTTAAGCACTCAAAAAATATTTTTAAGCACATTAAAAAGATATCATTAATTGGGCAGGGTTGGAAAGTTTTTGACAATTTGTCAAAAATCATGAAATTTTGAATCATGTAAAACGAATGGCGTTTTCATACGCTACGGACTGACGATACGCAGAAATAGATTGGGGTTGAATAAATTGTGAAAAAGTGGAATAGAACAATGTGAACTGTGTCTTTTTGCATAATTCGAAACGAAAATCAACATAGTAAAGGAAAAATAAATCTCCTTTTTAAAAAGGAAAAAATTAAGCACTTTTTAAAAACGATACGCACCCTGTATATATATATATATATATATATATACAGGTCGATAAATTTTGAAACAAAAAGCTTAATTAAATTTTTTAAAATCGGAACCGAAATATATTTATTTTAAAAAACATCTACGACATGGTAACTTCATTACAACGCATAATATTTTATTAAATTTGAAAACAAGAAAAAGTGACAACTAAAAAGAAGAAACGAAACCACTTGTTGACCTTGAACAGACGCGCCCACCACAGATAAGGAAACTGCACTTATCTTTTTATTTTGTTTATCATTTTAAAGTAAGTGCATAAGTGTCACCGATAAGAAAGATTTATAGTAGCAACACTTAACAGTTAATAAATATTTATGGAAGACCAGTGCTCTTAATAACTGATATTATTATTTTATTTTCAAAACGTCGTATAAAACTGATATTATTATTTTTTTTTATTACGTCGAAAATATTCAACGTTATTTTACAAAAAAATATGTAAAAGATCATAAATCTTAAGCGATATAAGTAACAGCTAAGATACTTATTAGACTTATAGTACAACACTTAACAAATATTTATGGAAGATCATTGCTCTTAATACTGTTTATAATTGATATTATTTTTTTTTCTTTCAAAACTAATACGTCGAAAATATTCAACGTTATTTTACAAAAAATATGTAAAAGATCATGCGAGTAACAGCTAAGCAATAGTAAAAACATTTAACCTTAAATAAATAAAATTAAAAGAGTAAAAATCTGATAAAGAAAGTTAATATAGAAATAATATATAGCTAATATGTAAACACTTCGCTTACCTATGCTTCGGCACTGCTATTAAAAAAACATTAGCCAACATATGTATACCGACTAATGTTTGGACAACGCATACTAATGAAAATACAAAAAGCTGATAATGTCCAAAGTCTCCAAGGTAATCCAGACATTTGTTAATATCAAGGGATTTTGCCTTCATTTTAAAAATTTTAATTCTTAAATGGTGAGGGATTTGAAAAAATAAAATAAAAAATAAATCTGATTAGAAAATGCAATCAATTGGAAATTTTATCAGTAGAAAACAAAGATACCTAACTAAATGATAATGTAGATAAAAAGGAAATTTTCTATAGAAAGTTTCTGTGTCAGGTAAAGTGACACGTATAAAACACACACTTTAATCCATTGTCACGTAAGGTCTTAAGATTTTTGCGTATATAGATGAGTAAATATAAGTGTTTTACGTTAACAACCATCATGGATTTAATGTTGTTGATCCTCGAAGTCCATCAAAAGATTCTTAACTTTTTGTAAACAAAACAAATGACAAACGATATATCAAGTTACCATAGGTACAATAATAAACAGATACACTAAATCGCGGAACTAATTGTAAATATTAAAAGCAAATATTAAAATACGCGTATTTAATGCGACAGATGGCGACAGCATATTCGCTTTCAAGATCTACAAAAGATGAATACGTGGAATATCTCATTCCACTTATTTTCGCTACGGATGGAATACAGTCATTTTTCTTAATTAATTTTGTCACTTGATTTTCAATTTCATTTTCGGCAAATAATTCCTTGATTTAGTTAGAAGTATTCAGTTACAAAATCTTAACTTTATTTTTCAAATTGCATCACAACAAAAAAGAAAAAACGGCTCTCTTCCCCCCCTCCTTCTCTTTTTTTAAAGTAATAAGTTATAATTAAAGGGAAAAAAAGTTTTTTTTTCGTAAATACGATTTTTTTATTCATCACATATTTGTACATTGAATTTTCATAACAAATTACTTAAACATTATTAATTATTTTTTGTAGTTATCTACTTTATTCTACAAATTAAAAAAAGTATGCCTTCAAACTTAAATAAAATTTCTAAAAATTACAAATAATAATAATAATAATAAAAAAAAAACAAAACTCTTAAATTCTCAATTTANAAAAAAAAAAAAAAAAAAAAAAAAAAAAAAAAACTGGTATTTTGTCTATAATTAATGCACACAATTAAGAATTTTTTTTTCTAAATACTATCTTTTTACATCAAATAATTGCACATTAAATTTGAAAAACAAATTATTTAACCATTATTAGTTATTATTTATTTAAACCCTAATGCTTACACTAAAAAATAAAATAAAAAGGCATTAAAACTTAAAAACTTAATAAAAAAATATAGAATAATATTAATAAATATAGATAATAATAATATAGATTAATAAATATAATATAATAAATATAGAATAATACATAATATGAAAAAAAAATTATACAGAATACAAAGAAAATTTTTTCCTGTAAATACAATTTTTTAAATCAAATATTTGAAGATAGAATTGAATTTTTCTTATTATAAATAATTTAATCATTATTAAATATTTTTTGAAAACAAAAATATTTATTCCATAAATAAAAAAGTAATTAATTAAACTTCAATAACATTCAGAAACAACATTATATGTAATTATCTATACGCATAATTAATATATAATAAGAAAAAAATTCTCGTAAGTAAGATTTTTTTAAAATCAAATAATCTGCATATTGAATTTTAAAAACAAATTGTTTAAATATCATTACATATTTTCTGTAACCTAAACTATTTATTCTAAAAATAAAAGAAAAGTAAGCATTAAAAATTAATAACATTCATAAAAGCGTTGTATATGTAGTAAGTATACAATAAATATAAAATAATAAGATAAAAAATTCCCCGAAAATAAAATTTTTTAAACAAATATTTGCAAATTGAATTTTAAAAAAGAATTATTTAAACATAACTATGTTTTTTGTAACCTAATTTTATTCTAGAAATAAAAAAAGTACGCAAAAACATTAGTGTAGGGTATACCGGGCAATGGTTTTTTAAGGTCAAGTATCACTGCCTGGTATATATTTGCCCGATACTCCAAACACTGATGTTTTTCTAATCCATCGTCAGTAAGTATTAAAATATCGAATAAATGTAATTATATCCGAGAATAAATTAATATCAAATCGGATGTAATAAATATTTCGGACATTCACCAAAGCGACTATGTAATTGTCAACATTCACCGGTGAAAGTCAAAAACCACCGATTTCGGTCATTCACAGTAACATGCACATCATTTACATAATAACCTCACCAGGACGTTTAATTCTTACTTTGCCTAAATAGCATCCGGCATTATATATAATGCCTAGGCAATGTGAGAAATATAAATCATTTCATACTTTGCCAGCTAGTTTTACGCATTATATTTAATGCCGGATTTCATACTTTGCCGGCAACATATCAATTAAAATTTTTTTTTAAACATTATTACATGTTTTTTTGCTACCTAAAATTTTTATTTTAGAAATAAATAACGTTTATACAACTATATACACATTACACCAGTAGCAGAAATCTCCTAGCACGGCAGGGGTCGCTGCAGATAGTTGTAACACCTGCATTAAAACTTAAATAACACTCATAAAAACATTACATATTACTAGGTATACGTAATTAAAGTAATTAAGTAAAGAAGTTATTTGCTAAGATCATTTGTCATATAAAAAGGTGCGTAGCCAGATTTCTTTAAAAAAAATTAATGAACACCTTTTAAGTACTTTTTAAGCACTAAAAAAATATTTTTAATCACTTTAAAAAAAAAAATCATAATTAGGATCTGTGCAGTAATAGAAATTATTTTTTTCTATCATTTAAAGTTCTTAACTTAAAAGCGAAGAATCAATAAAATTCCAAAACAATTTTCGAAAACTTTAAATAATCATGATAAAATAACTAGTTATTGAAAAATATTGCAGAGAAAATTGTGAAAATCGTGCATTTTTTGTAATTTAGAACGACAATCGTCACGGCAAAGAAAAAAGTTCTTTATAAAAGATAGAAAATTAAATACTTTTTACAAACCATGAACAAAAAAAGCACCTTTAAGGGCTTTTAAAAAACGTAAATCACATTTAAGCACTTTTTAAAAACGTTACGCACTTTGTATAAGTTTTCTTTCGAAAAGGCATATTAAAAAATGGAGAAATTGCCGAGCCTCCTTTTAAAAACATTTTTTATTTAAAAAAAAAAAGAACTGAACTGAGGAAACACCGCAAAGATCAATGAGTCAAGTATAAAATTCAACTTCAATTTAAACAACGTAATGTTTGAAGAACCTCACATTTGAAAATTTTGCTACACGTATGTCGGAATAAAGCTCAATTTTTACAATAATAATCAGACTGCGTTGAGGCAATACCTCTAGAAGGTATTGGTTGAGGTCGCATACAAATTTGGATTCATGAAGATAGTGTTGCGGATTCACTCCGAAAATTTTGCTAGTTATAACTAAAATATAATTAACAAGGGAAATTAATCAGCTTTAAACAATAAATTTTATTCATAAAACTAATGTCTACTTAAATAGCATCATTTTGTTAGGGCAAATGAATTGAATTATCATAATTGAATTCACTATTTTTATTATGTCAGTCACATAAAGCAGGGGTCTGTTTAGAAAAAATTTGGGTCCATTAACGGACCATTCACAAAATATTTTAACTTAAAAACGGACCCTTAACGAAGTAATTTATCGTTTAATCGGACCCTTCACAAATTTGTTTATCTTCATTATTGTTTTGTTAATCGAATAAATTCTTCCCAGGAAGGGGGTGGGGAAAGAAATATGTAATCGAACTAAATTTTGTCTTCGGCAGACACTTCTATTATATTAAGCGTACAGCAGTATAGGCTAAATACCAAATATTTGTATATTGCATCGCTAATGTAGTAACTGCAATTGCTGTTTATTTTTGAAAATTTAATTTTTTTAATTATAATTCTACAGTGTTCAGCATAATCTTGTATCTATTTTACAATTTAAAAACTCCTTGAAAAAGTTTTTTTGCAATAACGGACCCTATTTGCACAAATTCACAAAAGCGGACCCTGGTTGAAAGAATGTGACTTAACGTTTATTTTATATTCACAAATTACGAGTAATTTTTTCACAATTTTACAAAAACGGACCTTTTACAAAATGTCTGGACAGACCCCTGTAAAGGAAAAAGTAAATGTTTTTATTGTTGTGTTGGTACAAATGTGTACCATTATGTGTGGTACAAAAAAAAAAGACGGATTCAATATTAATGGTTTAAGTTTAAAGGGGTGTCCTTAAATATACTAATTAATTAGTGGAGATATTAAAGTTACAAAAGACTCAGAAATGTACTTTCTCTGAATAAATATACTCTTCCCCCTGGACAGATATGGATTTCTATCAATTATAATATTCATTTATCCAAAGACAATTCCATACAAACATATACATAAAAATTATTATTTTCATGGTCGAAAAAAAAATTGAATTAAGAGGTATATAAATTTGTATATCATTGGCTCAATTCAAAATTTGAAACGAAAAAGATTGAATAGTTTCTGAGTTATCAAATTTTAAAAGAGAAGCATGTGTAAATTTTGATTTCTCAGAAACTATTCGACCAATTTGTTCACGTTTTGTATTTTACCATGTAAAATCACATTCTCTAAAATGATGTAAAAATTTGTACACTTAACAACTCAAAATGTTTTCGACTATTATTTAATAAAATAATAAATCACTATTTTTTGCATGGCATTATCTCAGGATAAACGAATTTTATAATTACGTATAAGAATCATTTGAATTCTCTCTCTTGATTAAGCAATATAGACTAGTGGTTACCAACTGGCTGCCTGCGAAGCCTTTTTTTTGTGGCCCGAGAACTAAAATACAGTAGGGAACCGATTATCCGGAACGATCGGGACCATCGATATTCCGGATAACTGATTTTTCCGGTTTTCTGAATCGCTACAAAAAGCCGTTTTTTTATTGTTAAACCCTGGAGAAAAAAAAAATTTTTTTTTNAATAATCTTAAAAAGAAGAAAAAACGATGAAGCAATACACTAATGATTATTTCCAAAATGATGGTAAGGTAAACATCTTTCAAAAAAGAACGAAAAATCCTAAAATCTTATGAGGAAAAATTTTTTTTTTTTTTTTTTTTAAAATGGCGGGAAAACTAATCGAATTTCGTTCCGGTTTTCTGATTTCCGGATAACGGGTTTTGTACTGTATATTAATTGTCAATTTTCTGCGGACAATTTTCGTAAAAATCTATACGGGTTTAAAATACTTCTTCGTTAAAAAAAAAAAAAAACTTAATTTCTTCGTTTCTGTGAGATTTAACATACCAACGATGCAAAAAAATTTATTTCTCAAGTTTTGCATCCAAGAAAATATTTATTCAAATATAAAAATAATCGTGTATGTCGCCCTTTTTTGTTTCGTTTTTTTTTTTGTGAATTTAATTTAGCATGTGCGTATCAGAAATTTTCTCGAAGTAATTCTCC